ATACAAGAATTCAGCAGATAGGAATATACTAGGATCGTTATAGTGGAAATGATAAACATTAAACGTATCATTTTAGAACTTTCGATTTTTAGTGGACTACTGACAATGCTGCATTTAGACTCTCCCCTTCCCCCGGTGTTAAAAAATTGGTGACATCCCGGCAGAGGCCTACCCACGGGCCACCGGTAATATTGGAGATAGATCATAGATCCTCATGAACTTTTTAGATCTTGAGAAAAGGTCAAAAGGATCTATTAATTTTACAATATTGTGTTTTTTAAAATATTGTTTAATAATTTCATGACCCACTTTTCCGAAAGTAAACCTATAATTTATTAATATTTTAATAATTAAAGCTGATAAATTTTTAAGTGTTTCTTTAATTTTCAGTTATCTTTAAGCTTATATATCTTAGGATTTCAAATATTATCAGCTAGACATTGTGATTTGTGGTGCTCAACTCAGAACTCAGAGGGTCGGACCACTCAGACTGATATTATTATTAAAATTACTTAATTTAGGTATTGTTTATGTTGTCAAATTGATTATTTATGTTGTCAAACTGTTAACTTTGTTATAGGTAAGGAAAAATAATTATATACAAAATTTGTAATCCTTATGCACTTATACAATATGTTCAACTAACTGATTTTGTTATATAGTAATGAGAATTTCTTGTTTACTAATAAAATATAAGATATAAGTTTAAAAGACTTTTGTAGAGTTTTTGGTGATTTTAAAAACTTCAACTTCTACAACATAATGTATGCTAATAAAATATATCTATAGTCTATACATTTAGTCACATGTCTCATATAGGTATAAGTTAAAGGTTAGATACTTAGATAATTAGAATAAATACATTTAACAAAGTTATAATACTTATTTTATTTAAATAATTAAAAAACAACATTTACTTGTACAGTCTTGTACTCTTGTAGTCTTGTTAATCTCAAATTCTACACTTTGGAGTAGGTATTTAACAAATTATATAAATAGTTAAAAATATAAAATAAAAATGTAAAACCTTTTTTAAAAAAAAAATTTGAATTTAAATGTAAAAAAACATAACCTTCTAGTCAAGTAGTCAACTGAAGTGTAAAAAAATTAAAAACCCTTTTTTGGCATAAACTAAAAACATAAATTTACAATAGTAAAATAATTGTATTTATTAAACAGGAATTGGAACATGGGCCTTATTCGCAGATAGAAAAACAAGTTGGCTAGCATGATCATTAGTAAGTGTAGCTCTATGATCTGTGACTATAAGACCTCCTTTGCTAAAAACCCTCTCAGACGCCACACTAGTAGCTTGAATGGTGAGAAATTTTCTTGCAAGAATGGTTAAAAAAGGGTACATCGATGAATTTAAATTCCACCACTTTAGAGGATTTTGACAAAATGATATTGTAGGTAATCCTGTATAAAACTCAATTTCTTTCTCTATTTTATGTGGTGTAGTATCATCTTCCTAAATAAAACAAAATACAAATAATATGTAATAGCTAGTAGTGCTGATCAGAATGGTTTAACTAGGTTTTATAGTCTTACTTGATTTGAAGATCGATCATTAGGAACATTTGGCTCTCCGAATATTGCAAGCAAGCCAGATTGTTTAATTTTTTTAGATGGAGAACTATAATTGCCCATTGATAAATTATCAGTTCCATCTTCTTTACCATTATGCATTTCATTCCAAACCATCCAAGCACTAAGACATTCAGTTTTCATGGCATATTTGACAGATATTTGATCAGTATCATTTATATATTTCATCTTAAATCGAGGATCCAGTACCATAGTAATTTTTAATGCATTGTTGTCATTATAACGATTATCGAGCAAATCCGAAATTGTGTTATACATTTCGTTTTTTAATTCAGCTGTATTTTCATTTGTGGATACCTCATTAATTTTATTTTTTATATTATTAATTACTGGGTATATAGCAGAAGCAGTTACATAGGTTTCCCCTGCTAAATTATCTGCAATTTCTCTAAAAGGACTTAAAACCATTTCAATACATTTTAAGACTTCAAACTCTTCAACATCTATTATACATTTTTTATACTCTCCTTTTTTGTAGGTACGTAAAAAACTTGATAAAGCTAATTCTTGGGTAATAACAACTTTAATTAAATCGAGAAGAGACCACCATCTGGTTTTTGAATATGACGGAAATTTTATACATTTTAAACCAAATCGTTCTTGTTCAGTTTTTAAATGTTTTACTGCCTGCCAGCTATGTGCAAAAATATTTTGAATTTTTTTTACTTTTACTACAATTGCATTTACTTGTTGAAGAAGAAATATTCTTCCGACAGCTATGTTAAAAGCATGCCCAAAACATGGTGTATGAGTAATATTCAAATTTTTAACTGCTTTTAATACATTGGATCCATGGTCAGTTGTAAATGAACATATTTTATTGCTTGGGATTTCAATATTATATTCCAAGAATAACATAATCAATGCATCAGCTATATTGTCACCAGTATGATCTTCAATAAGTTCAATACATCCCAAACATATACAACCTGTAAATTTAAAAATAAATAATTTAAATGAGTTTATAATACTAGGGCAATAAATTAATGACCTACGGGCTACGTATGTAAAAATTACATTGAATGTTTGTTATTTTTTTGTTCTTCAACAAAATTAAATAAAAAAAACTGATAAAATATTTAACTATGACTAAAATAATTCGGTAGTATTTTGGTTTTTGTACATACCTAAATTAAAATCATTGTCAATATAATGACCTGTCAAAGCCATAAATGGTTGATTTGCTACTGATGTCCAACAGTCAGTAGTGAATGACATGAACAATGTATTTTTTACTATAGTTTCAACATTGTCCTTAGTCACCTTGTAGAGATAAGGTATCCTTGATTCAGTCATTGTTTTGCGGCTTGGAATTTTATAACTAGCATTAAGGGCATTTGTATACATTTTAAATCCATCTTTTGAAACAATACTATACGGCATCATATCTGTAGAAATGAAATAAGCTAGCACATTGTCGATTCTTGCCTGAGCAGTTGCAGTAAGTGTATAAGATGTAATTGGTAATTGGTTCATTTTTTTTTCATTTTTCATTTTTGAGCTGGTACTGTTTACTGAACATGGAATTGTTGTTGCTGTTGATGAAAATGAACCCCTAAAAATAAAACTTGAGACATTAAACCAATTTAAATTCACATTAAAAGTAAATTATTACAGTAAACATTTTTGATATTATTAAACTAAATTATAATTTAACCTAAACGTTTGTGTATAATATTTTAAAAATTTAAGTGTTAGCCTAAAATATTAATACAAATTGTATGATCCAACTAATCTAATATATATTATAATAGGTAGGTACTAATAATTTGTTGAAAATCAGTTATTTAAAAATTTAAATTTTAAAAAGTAGGTATTTATATATGGCTATATTTAGTAATTACTTTAAGGATAGGTAGTTAAAAAACTTATTGCTTAACATAAAACTTAAAAAATAATAATAGATTATGAAAAAATGAATAAAACATTTTCAATCATTATTTATTCTTATTTAATATCCCAATAAATAGGTGGTTATTTGTGTCATAGATGTGACGTTATTACGTTAACAATCGACCTATCACTTATCAGAATTCACTATGCAGTTACCCAGTGGTCAGTAGTCAGTAGTCAGTACTCAGTAGTCAGTACTCAACTCAGTAGGTAGTCACTAGTCAGTACCCAACTTTACCCTACTTAAATAATTAATACTTAATAGATTACTTCTTAATATATCATAGTCCATAGATGGAAAATATTTGTTACAAATAATACACATAAATAAAACTTACTCATCATCACATTCATCAATGTTAACTAACAACGAGGATGGCGATGGCGATCCTGAAAATCCTTTGCGCTGATCATCCAACTCTTTAAATTTTGACTTGTGCTTGGACTGAAGGTGATTCCATAAATTTGTTGTATTTGTACCTGAATTGGCGTACGTCTTTTTACAGATTTGACATTGGGCACGTAAACCACAGTCAGTTTTAATAAAAACTTGCCACACTTCACTCATGATTTAAATTGAGGTAATAGCCATTAGCCAATAGGTAATTGTAAATTCGAATATCGTAATTCGTAAACTAAACGTTATTTTAATAATAATTGTAATGATGACGTTATGGATTAATGTAACAAATTTTGTATCTACAGAAGATATAAATAGATCAATAGTCAACGTTTTCCAATGTTTTATTATGATAACGGATATATTTTTATCGTGTTTCATTAATCTGTGATACTACACACAACAATCGATTTTTTAATTGTTAATCGATTGGCTGATTAATCGATTAATCGAAACAATTAATCGATTAATCGATTATTTTTTACGATTAATCGATCTTCCGATTAATCGATTATCTAAAATTATTAAAAATAATCGATTAATCGATTAATTGATTAGGATCGATTAATCGATTGTCATAATCGCGCACCCCTACTTTTTACCCGGCGCCGTGTGTACACAATTGTGTACACTCCTTTATTTATCATTTTTCTTTTCGTGTACATTATATTGTACACGAGTTTTTTTTTAAAACAAATTTCGTATACAGAAATGTGTACACGTCTGTACTGATTTAACATTGGAATTAAATATTGAGGCCCCTAGGACCAGTTTTGTCTACTCAGCGAAGATAGGAAATGGATATTTCTTATTTAAATCAAGTTTTTATTTTGACCTTTCGAATACGTTTTATCTGAAAAAAATGCACAAAAGAATTACTTATATTATAAAAATACTTAATAATTGAATCTTGCTTTATGGTTTACAAAAAAACATTCTGTACAAAAATGGTTTTCACAAGTAGTACACATTGTCTTCACTCTTTTTGTTTTTTTTCTAGCTACATTTGTTCCTATAAATAAATAAATATTTATTAATTCATAGAAAAGGAAATATTAAAAAATGTATTATCTTTTTCTTTAGAGATGATTTCATAACATCATTTACACCTTCCAGTTTTTGATGTTTTTTCCAATAAATGTTCATTTATTTTTTGTGTTGGTACGTGTGTTGTAGTTTTATTCCTCAACAATCCTTGAATGACAGCTTCTCTAAATTCCACAAGTTTCATTCTATTTCCAGTTACACCAGTATACAATGATAGAGCATTGATCATAGATGTGTTACATATTATATCAAACATTATTTTTCTATACCATTTGAGAGATTTCCTTAGGCAAGATTGATAGGAGCCCAATTGATCTGTCAAATCGATATACGATTTTCCTGTATTATAATCTGCAATAACATTTGGTTAACATTTATCATTAAATGTGTATGCATTGTGCTTAACATCAAAACATCACGTCGGTCTCTCCACTTCAGTACCATAAAAGCACGTCGATTTTGTTTTGAAATTACTCCTCCTCTAACTAGTTTTTTGGCTATCACCTCTTTTGGATTCCGTTTTCGGTTGGATCTTAGCGTTCCCACTAAATGTGTTTGTCTATCTAGTAATTTTTCTGCAAGATCAATACTGGTGTACCAATTATCCGCGTATAAACACCTTCCACTGTCCAAGTAAGGCTGCATAAGTTCCATAACAACTTAACAAGATACAAGTTGCCCAGGAACAGCTTCTTTTCCGTCATATATTTTGTACTGTGATGTATAAAAGTCACGAGTACATAGTTTAAAAATTTTTACTCCATAGCGATGTCTTTTATTGGCTACATATTGGCTGAAAGAAAGACGACCCAAAAATGGAACCATCGATTCATCAATACACAAGTTTTTTTCTGGTATTAGGGCATTGTTATACTTATTTACTAAGATGTCAACTAATGGCTGAATTTTGTATAGACGATTGTTTGGAGGTGCTTTGCTATTATCTGACACGTGGAGGACAGAAAGTATCAACTCAAACCTATTTCGTGACATGTATTTTGGGATTTCACACTTATATAAAAAAATA